AAATGTTTTACAGACAGATATTTTCGCAAACTTATTAACATACTTTTCGAGATGATTACTGTTCACCGTTTTCACCGTTGAAAGAATATCATCCAGCTTATGGTTTGTTACCTACTGCTTTCTACGTGTGCCTRCAACAGTAATACGCATAGCATATAATTATAAATCGTACGAAATCATTTAAATTGTTGTGTATGGGTTCGATGCGATGGCACATGTCAACCTAAACAATAGTAGACCTATATRTTGTGTAATACGTCGGCATATTATATAAGTACACCTGCGAGACGAAGGGCATAATATGACCACCTATAAATAGACTGCAGTTGTTGAGCATAATATATACGTATATAATAATAATAATATGTAGATAAGTATACATACTCGAGTTGCACGAMTGCAGCGGTCRTTTCCAAACATCYAAGTACAAGTGTTCCTTTGTGAGAGGTCCGTCCGGAATAAACGATCGATGCATTATGGGTTGCCATTCAATTTTCCAAACCTAGTAATTTAAAACGTTGGTGGACGGTGGCAATAAAAAAACCAAGTTTTCAATAATTTTTTTAAAATATAATTTWAAAAAAAATTAAAGATTTWAAAAAAAAACCTGTATAATAAATACCTATTACTTATACTTTACTATTATATTAATTATAATATAGTAAGTACGCGTATAAAAAGTGATGGCGTATAGAGTAGTTTACGAATAAGTATTTGAAATATACTCATGTAGTGCTGTGAAAATTAAACACAAATAAAACATAGTATAAATATGTATACACAATACTATAATAATTTTAAATGTTTTTTTTTCCATAAAAATCAACAGAGCCATGTTGATAAAGACTATAATATAGTATCTTGTAACTTTAAATAATTTAATGTTTACTGTCGATATACGTATAATAGTCTCAGCCGGCTCAGGTATACGTATACCTTACTAACTTAAGATAGAAATTGGTTTAAGTATATTATAAATACCAAATATGTAAGACTAATCGTACATGTATACACTTAATCATTTCTTAATAATATTAAAATATATATTTGCGTATCATAATCGACTTGGATATTAACCACTGGTTATGGGAACTACTGATGTAGTATTATATATAAACACTACACACACGCATGTATATTATGCGATTCTAAGTCGATCGCCATCATAACGTCGTATTTTATTGTCATTTGTCTAAACGGAAAAGTTTTGTAAATGTTTGCAGGAGTGTGCACGAACGGAACGGCGCCGTCGGTGAGCAGCATCAACCGGATACTGCGGAACAGGGCGGCCGAGAGGGCCGCGGCCGAGTTCGCTCGGGCCGCCGGGTACGGGCTGTACCAGGTGTCGCACCCGTACGCGTCTTTCCC